TGTAAGTTTTGTGGATGCAGGGCTTCTTGTTTGTTTTACAATGTCTAGCACACAGTAGGTACTATTAGTTGACTGAGTGGTCAGTTTGTTAAGCTTCCCAATACTGGTGTTGTGCAGAGAACTCTACATTATCTTCTTTTCAGAGCAGTTATCTCCACTTTACTTATATAAAAGGTGACGCTCAGAGATGAAACAACTTGTCCAGAGTAGATACCTGGCAGAGCACATTCATGAATCAAAGTTTAGCTCAGTGCTGTATATTAAAACTATAATGCAAGCCACACGTGTAATTTAAAGTTTTCTAGGAGTCTCACTGAAAACTAAAAGGAAAGTGAAATTAGTTTAAATTACATTTTACTGCATCTATTATATCCAAAATACTGCTGTTTCAACATAAAATCAATATAAAAATTATTAACTATTTTTATTATTTTTCCAACTGTAATTTCTTAACTCCATTGTGTATTTTATGTTGACAGTACATCACCATTCAGACCAGGCACATGACTGGGTGCTCACTGGCCCATGTGGTTAGTGGCTCTTCTGGGGGCTGCTCAGGTCTAACTGATTTCATGGTCCATGCTCTTGCAGCTCAACTTGTGATTCCTTTTCTGTTTTGGGAGGATGATAAGCAATCTACCTCTCACATTTTTTTTTTGTACCAGGATTGAATTCACAACCTTAGGCTTGAACATCTCACATTTATATATGCTACCCTTTACAAATGGCTTAGTTCATCTTATTTTTCAGTTGCATGAGGAAGTGTGTCAGGTGTGGGGTAGTCCTATAACATATAGGTGTGTTGGTTCATACCTGCATACCTGCCTTCAAGGTATTCACTCTGTCAGAGACATCCCAGATTCTTCAGTATGGATTTCAGCTTTTCTCTAACTTTGACCCATCCCATTGGTCCTTGTGTTTGAACTCCGCTCCTAATTCATGTCTTATTTCTACTTTCAGACTGGGTTCCTTTTAAGACAACTTCCCCAAAGTCTCCCTGAGAAGTCCCCATCACTTTTATGATAAATAATTTTTAAAAATGGAAGAAAATATTTCAACTTGCTGACTTGATTGAGGACCAGTATATTAGCACACAGTGGCTGAAGAAAAGAATGTCTCATTTTTGCCTGAGTTCTTTATGTCCTGATTAAAGGGGACAGTCACAGTTACCTCTGGGAGTGCTAGGAAAGCCCTGCTGTTCTTGGATGCTGTTTGGGCTTTCCATGGATGAGACAGGGGAGCTCCTACCAGGCTTGGAACTCATGTGCATTGCCATGTGAGTGAAGTTAGAACCACTCCATTGAGGACTAGAAAAGAGCACTGCAATTACTTTTGGGAGGCAGTTTATCTTATAAATTAGGGTTAGTCTCTTTATGGTGTCTTGGACTTACCTGTGAGATGACTAAATCTTCTCTAGGGATTTCCCCTTTTTAATAGTAATTACTTTTCTATTGGGATTGCATTGAATCTGTATAACAGTTTTGGGAGAATGGCCATCTTCACAATGTTTGTTTTTCCTATCCATGAGCAAGGGATGTCTTTCCATTTTCTGAGATCATCCTCAGTTTCCTTTTTCAGTGTATTATAGTTTTCACTGTATAAGTCTTTTACTTCTTTCGTAAGAGTAATTCCTAAATATTTCATTTTTTTGCTTGCTAATGTGAATAGTCCAGTTTCTCTTATTTCCCTCTCTGTGATTTTGTTGTTTGTGTATAGGAATGTTATTGATTTCTGAGTATTGATTTTGTATCCAGCCACATTACTGAATTTATTTATTGTATCTAAGAGTCTTTCAATGGAGTTTAGGGGGTCTTCTATGTAGAGTATCATGTCATCTGCAAACAATGATAACTTAACTTCTTCTTTTCCTGTCTTTACCCCTTTTATTTCTCTTTCTTGCCTAATTGCTCTGGCTAGTACTTCCAGTACTATATTAAATAGGAGTGGTGATAAAGGACATCCTTGTCTTGTGCCTGATTTTAAAGTAAAGGCTTTCAATTTTTGGCCATTTAGTATGATGCTGGCTGTTGGTTTGTCATATATGACCTTTATTATATTGAGGTAAAGACCATCTATTCCAATTTTCTGTAAAGTTCTTATTATGAATAAATGTTGGACCTTATTGAAGGCTTTTTCCCATTATGTGGCTTTGAAGCCTTATGCAGTTTTCACTTATTAATTAGAAAGGCTTTATTCTAGGCTTCTTGATATGGAAATATTTGAAGCTATAGTATATGAAGTTTTATCCAAACATTTCAAGGAAAAAGACAGACACTATGGTAACTACTATTAAGTCGGGTTATTTGGTGGTGAAGCACTAGGTTGCTGAAACAGTCATGCTTTGACCTGTATTGTTATATTGTTATGTCCTGTTTTATCTCAATCTCTCCCTTATTCTTTAAAAAAATTATTTAGTTATTTCTTATGTTTGTTTTAATTAAGGGGAAAATTAAAAAGAATTAGGATATATAATAGTAACTCTTTTTGATTTCCTATTAACTTGTTTTGAAGTCCTGTAATACTCCCATGATCTTGTTTTGACTGATTAGACTCTGTTCCACTCTGTATGATAGTATCAAGTTTGAGGGTATAGGCAACTACTTTGAAGGCAATAAGATTCACTAAGATGCCCATTCTGGTTTGACTATTGTCTCCTTTGGAAATCCTGTAATGTTTACAATGCCTAAGTTTTATTGGTCTTGTTCTCTACTGTTTTGTCCAACTTTATAATATCTAATGAGATAGACAATTCTTTTTAAGGAAACAAGAGACAACGTTGATAACCATTGTTGATAACCATTGTTGATAACCTTGTACTCTGTTCTACATCATGTGCTATGTCTATCCTTGGTTTTGACTGACAGCTTTGTTTTGCCATATTTGACTTTATTCTCTCCCCCCCCAAATGTAATAAGAACTAAGGAGTAATAAAATCCAAAACGTGTAAATTTTGTTGTAAAAAAGAGAGGGGAAAAAAAAGAGCTCTAACGGATATAACAGCAAGTGTGTTTAGGGGTGTTAAATAGCTGACTAGGTATTAATGTTTTTGGATCATTGAACACAGCTGTTTGCAGTCTCTCTGTTTGAATGTCCACTTTGTATTCTTTGATACTGTGATTTGAGCAACTATTTCTAAGATGATAATATGTAATCTATTATCAAGTGATTTCTTACTGTTTTTTTTTGTAGTTCTGTATTACGTGTACCCTTACACCGCTTTGTTTTGTTTTGTGTTTTTCTCTTTTTCCTCTTAAATAAAATTAAAAAAATAGTAATTACTTTTACTGAACACAAGTTGTGTTCTGTGAAAATTTTTGTATGTGGCCTCTCTGGTCCTTTTTCAGGTGGGTGTGGCCACAGTGTTGGATCCAAACCACAGGAGCCTGCAGCATTAAATCAGTGGTTCCTCTCTGATTCAAAACTTGATATTTGGATTTATTTTTCTTCCCTCCTTGTAGGAGAAGCAGTGTTCTTTCATCAGTGGAATGAATACTTTTGTTAAAGAGTTAGCCGTTGTCTCAGACTCTTAATTTATCTTCATAAACTGTAAAAGCCTGAAGCCCATATGAATCGGGAAATCTGCGCTTTCTGAATATCTAGGCTGCTTAGCGTTCCCCAGTAATGAACATTGCTGATTAGTGGGTACTCAGGAAGACAATTAGAGAAGAGAAAGGAAATCAGCGGGGAGGCAGAGGGAGAGTGGGCAGCAGGATATGATTAAAGTATGTTCAGGTACTTCTAAACTATGAACATGTATGTGCATGTATGAAAATGCCTCAGTGAAGCTCATGTTCTGTATTTTAAGATGCACTAATAAAAAACTGATTTAAAAAAGGCCATAATAGAGCAAAAGTTGAATGAGTTGAAAATCTGAGTAGCCACTTGCTTTGTTTTTCTCAATCAGTAGAGCTGCAGTGTCTTGTCTTGTTCGTTCTCTTTATCTTTTTTATACTCATGTCCTGATGAGAAACAATCAGATCCTCCACCATTAAAAATTCATTTCATTTAAAATTTCCATAAATCAAGGAAGACATAGTAGCACACACCTGAGGTAGGAAGATTTCCATGGGTTCAAGGCCAACTAGGGCTGCATAGTGAGTTCAGGATCAGCCTAAACTAAATAACAAGACTCTCTCTCAAAAAAAAATCTGACTATGCAACTAATTAATATGTTCTTCTAAACTGGGCATAGTTTTAGCATTGGTAGATAGTATAGGAATTAGTTGAAGTAAGTGCAGAGTGGGGCTTTGGTAGTGGAATAGAACAAGAAAAACAGCAGTTGGTGGGGTAACTAAGATAGCAACAAAAATTATATTGCATTTTTTTCTTTACTAAGAACTGGGGTAGATGTTGGGGTGAGCTGCTTCTAATCACAGAACAGGTAATCTCATTTACTTAATCCTATTTGCTATAAGTTATGGTTAACAAATTTATACAATAGAAACAGTACATAAGCTTGGATAGAATGTAAGTACTACATGGAGAGTAAAATTGGGATGAATTAACAATGATATGAAAACATAAGATCTCAAATAAGAATGGGTAGAATTTAAGATTGATGGATATTATGATATAGTGGTGCTTATCACTATGCATTTTAATCACTTGGGAAATTTTTTGGGAGGGAGGTAGTGTCCTGTGACTGAACACAGACATTTTTCTTTTTTCTTTTTTGACAGGATCTCACTAAGTTGCCCAATCTAGTCTTGAATTCATGATCCTTCTGCCTTAGCTGGAATTATGGGGATGTGCCACCATATGGGCTTTACTTGGGAAGCTTAAAATTTACTGATACCTTTAAAGAAATGGTTGAGTGACTTAATTCTACTTGCTTGAGAATGAGGCCTGGGCACTGGAAGTCTGGAGAGTCTGCAGTGGATCTAATTATAGCCAAAATTGAGAATAATTAGTATGGACTATGATTTAAGTCTTACCTATACAATGATTTTTAAAAAAATTTTTGTTTTGTTTTGTTTTTTCTAAATCCATTTGATTTCAAGGATGAAAAAAGAAGAAGAAAAGAAAAGAAAAACTACAGTAAAATTTCAAAACACATCAATCCAGGAGCAACATGGTATGTACATTGTGCATAAAACAATGATTCTTTTTTTTTTAGGGTACAAATAATACAGTATTTCTAGAAAAAAATAGACAGTACAGAATCACCAGTTAATAGGTTACATATTATCTTCCCAGAAACAGTTGCCCATATCACTAAATTAAAGCATATAAAGTGAACACTCACACAGTGAAATTGGAGACAGTTCCATTCAATGATCCAACAAAAGCTCAGTTATATGGTTTTCCATCCTACACACTTGAACATGCCTGTGGTTATATCCCTTAAAAAGAATGATTCTTGAACTTCAGTGATAATCAAAATCTCTTGTGGTGCTGATTAAAAGTAGTTTCTGTTCCCCGCTAAAATTCTGCCCAGGATCTGCTGCCGGCTTTTAGACTGCCCTTAGAGAAATGTTCTTACAGGTGTAGAATGTTGGATAATAAGAAACCTGAGAACTCACGAGATTGGCTAGGTTTCCTGGAAAGATTTGTAAGAAAATTAGGTGGGGAGGTATAATACAAGAGTGCCTACACTGGCATTATGTAAATTAAATCAGGTGCTACAGAAAAGATTAGCATGGACCTTGTACAAAGATGACTTCAAATTCATGAAGCATTCTACAGTTTTAGGTTGTGATGTTAAGTGAAATAAAGCAGACACACAAGCTTTAATATTTCATGGTTTTTCTTATGAAAAACCCTAAAGGTAAAGAACAAAGTAAAAGATAGATAATAGGAAGAAAGGAGATCTTTTTCAAATGGGAAGAGGAAGAAGGGATGGAGGGAAGGACAAGCAAGGGGGACAAAGGGGATGGAAAAAGCATTGGGATGTCTTATGTACATGTACTGACTCCCCACAAGGAATGTGTTATAGACCATGAATGTGTATTAGTAAAAATGTAAAGTGAAAAAATATAGTGCAAGATATATTAGGGTATTAACGTTGAAAGTTTTGAGAAGGAATCGTGTGAAATAAGGCTGAGAAAGTAGCCTTTCATACCTCTTCAAGGAGTTTAGATTAAATGTTTTTGGACTCAGGGAGATGAAGGTTGGAGACATCAGTCTGAGCTAGCTGTACAGATCAGGGAAACGTACTGCAAAGCACAAGTGCCCACAACACTGTGTGCAAACATTACTCCACTGAAAGTGACTTAGGAAGGGCTGGGTAATTGTGTGTGACCCACAGTGGCAACTTATTATGAGGAGGTGGAGCCTTACTCTGTTGCCTGGCCTTGGACATCTGGGCTCAAGAGGTCCTCCAATTTCAGTCTCCTGGATGGCAGAGACTAGACATATATGCCACTATGCCTGGTGATTTTTGAACTAACACCACCAAACTGGGAAAAATTAATTCTTCCAGAATTTATTAGATATTTTTATATGCCTAAATGTACTGAGATTCTTTTTCTTTATTTAAAGAGAAATAAACAAAATAAATACATGGAGATAAAAAAGGGTAGAAATAATACAGAATTACAGAAAAATAAATGGTAAGAAATCACCAGTTGATAAGTAACATATTGTCATCTTAGAAATAGCTGTTCAGGTTACAAAACTAAAGTATGTAAAGTGACATTCAAATAGTGACACTGCCAACAGTTCTGCTCAATGACCTAACAAAAACTTAGTAATATGGTTATCAGTCCTACACATTTGTTTTTTATCTTAAAGATGTTAAGATTAAACATATCAAAACAGAACAAAGCAGTTAAAAAAAACAATTTAAAGAAATACAGATTTCAAAGCAAGTCCCCTGTAGATCTTCACTGTTTATCTAATTGTCTTGTTTCTTCCAAATAGCTGTCCCCATCTTCATGCACATTAAATACATACCGCATATTATAGAACTAATCAAATCATTATAGGATGATGAAGGCTTTTTAAGTTTTCAAGATATGACATTGGGGAAGACAATAATAACTACCATATTGTCTCTCATTCTCTTCATAGTAGCTGTCCTTATCTTTACATATGCTGAAATTGAATTTAAGAGACTACACTAATATCACTCTGATCAGTGAATAATAGTATTGCTAGATTTTATATCATAATACTCCAGAATTAGCATTGGGTTTCTTAGTGTGTTTTCTTCTTCAGAGTATCTGTTCATTACATCTTGCATTATGTAATCTGTTCCCATCAATAGTTTTTTAAAAAAATCTTCTCATGTGTGAATTTCTACATGAATATCTATCCTCTCTGTATTATAGGGAAAAACAAATCATAACAAGACAGCAAAACAAATTCCTAGAAAAACATGCAATGAAAAAGACACATAAGACTACAATATTAGGTGATCTACCAGAGTTACTATGCTTTCTCTTGTTATTTTCAATAGACTTGCCCATATCATTGGGCTTAATATAGTTAAGCGTAGTATTACACAGCTATTTTTATAAAAACACAACTTTGAAAACATTGTAGGACTTGAGAGCTGTTAATAATCAATATCAGTATGGATGTCTTTTACATCTTGTCATCTTCAGAGTAGTTGCCTCTACTTTTAGGGTTGATACTATCAAGCATACCAGATTCAAATAAAATCAGCCAAGGCAAAACTGTGGTCTAATGAATTGGATTCAAATAAGATCAGTCATAGTAAGACAATGTAAGTAATACAGGGTTTCAGTTTAAGTTAATAGGAAATTAAGGATGGTTACCATGGTATAACCTGCTATTTTTGGGTCAGATGTCTGTGCCCTCAAATCTGATATGAGTGAACAGACCAGAACAAATTAAATTCAAACTAAACAGGGTGATAAGACTACTGTGTATTTTAAATCCTGATACACTATTAACAATGACCTCTGCCTTTTTTATAGTGTATCAAAGCTATCTATACTAAAGAGTATAGCTTACTGCCTCATGTCTGCTACTCTACTTTACTGCTATGATTTGTCCACCTTACTCCCTCATTCCACTATCTGCCCCGTTCATTGAGGCCTCTCTGCCACTGTTGCTGGAATCCTGATATTCCTCCCTCTCTTTCTCTGGAATGTCCTTCAGTACTCTCTGTAGGGTTGGGTTGGTGGCCACGAACTCCCACAGTTCCTCCTTGTCTTGGAAGCATCTTATTTCTCCATTAATTTTGAGAGAGAATTTTGATGGGTATATGAGTCTTGGTTGCAGATTATTTTCTTTCAGGACTTGGAATATTTCTGCCCATTCCCTTCTCAATTTAAGAGTTTGTGTTGATAAGTCTGTTATTATTTTGATAATTTTTCCATTGTAGGTAATCTGCTTCATTTCCCTGGCTGCTTTTAATATTCTGTTCTTTTGGTGGATTTCTGGAATATTGATAATTATATGTCTGGGTGTAGATCTGTTTTGTTTGTAGGTAGCTGGTATTCTGTATGCCTCTTTTATCTGGATATTATTTCTTTTCCCTATAAATGGGAAATTTTCCTTTAATGTATCTGTGAATATTCTTTGTATTTCATTTTTGGTTGCTCCTGCTTCCTCACTCACATGCTTTATTCTTAAGTTATGTATCCTTTTGTCATCTTTTGAATTGTTTCTTTCTGGTTCCTCGTAATTTTTAAGAGGTCTTTTCTTTCACAATCATATATCATAAATCTCTCTTAAGTTTCAAAAGGCTAACTTTAGGGGCTGGGGATTTAGCTCAGCGGCATAAGTGCCTGCCTTACAAGCAGGCAGTCGTGAAGTTCGATGCCCGGTACCGATAAAAAGGAAAAAGATGAAAAAAAAAAAAAAGGCTAACTTTAGTTTCTGTCAAGGCATTTTGCCAGTGTTCAATGGAGTTTTTAGTTTCCTAGTACTCTCATTGGATCTGTTTCATGTATTCATGTATTCTAGTGTATCAAGTTATGTTTAAATTCTTCTTCAGAAATTTCTCCTTCTTTTCTGATTTCCTTTAATTAAGCTCAAGACTTTCAGGGTTAAGACAAAAGATTCTCAGCCTGTGGCGAGGGCCAGGAGGAGAAGCAGAACTCCAGAGATCCAGCCATGGTGGGAATCAGGAAGCTTATTCACCTGCCCTGTTGGTAAGCATTGTGGAGAGAGCCAGGAGAAGAAGCAGCACTCCCGAGACCCAGACATGGTCATGGTAAGCACCTGCAACATGGGCCTGGAGGAGTACCATTACTTGTGAGCCTACTGCCATGCGGGCTGAAAATCAGGCACCCTTCTCACCCTTCCCCATAGTAACTGGGGATAGATGTCTCAGTATCTCTTGAGAAGATGACCATATGTAGTATAGCAAATATGGGGGATTTCCTTCTATCTTCGTTTAAAGGCAAAGGTTGTTTTCACTGTTTTGTTTTGTGATGTTTCTTTTGCTCTATTCAGTATTCTCAATTGGTTTTATAATGTTCTATTTTTGGTTTGATTTTTCTATACCTAATTGACTAGAGAACTATTGTGAAGTTAAAGAGATATACCATAGTACCTATTACTACTATTCCAGTATCCTACCGTGAAATCCTGCACGAATTTCACTGCATTGTCTCGATTGGTTTTGTTCTGTCTTGTGCTGTTGCATTTTTACTACTTTCAAAGTAAAATTTTAAAAAAAGACAAAAGATTTTCTGGATCAGTCTACTTACATTAGGACCAAGGACAAAGGGTAGAGAGACTGAGGAAAATGCAGGTAATGAGTAGGACCTTGGGAGTCACTTCAAGGACGTCTCCAAGTCATGAATCAAGTCAATTCTGTAGCACTGTCTTATCATAAAGACATGGTAGAAGTGAGACTGTAGGAGTAATTTTTGCAGTTGTGGTCTCTAGTTAACTGGGTTTGGAGCCAGAATGTCTGCAGCTGTGGCCTTTGAGGTATCTCTGGCCTCAGCCAAGACCAGTGATTCATAGAGGTTCACTTACTATGAATCAGCTCCCATCATCAGGCAAAGGGCCTAGGCCTAGGACAGACTCACAGATAAACATAGAAAGCCAATTAGTAAAATTTAAATCCTGCTCAGAACCACGTCATAGTGATCTCCAACAGATAGGGGCAGCTGAGACTTCACCAGAGCCCTGCCACGAATGTCAGTTTCCTCTCCCTTACTCTGTTTTTCTAGCTGATAGTAGTGTGCATTTGCCAATGGACCCTTGTCAGATGTCACAGTTTGTGTTCCTCTTTTAGCTTTCTTTTGTGCCTGGAACCCAGGACCTCACATGTGCTAGGCACGTACTCCCCCACCTTTGGTTTGTGGCCTGTACCAGCCCTGCTTTTCTCTTCCCATTTGACCATTTTGTGTTTTGGTGGTACTGGGGATGGAATCCAGGGTTTGTGTGTGCTATGTGTAGAGCTGACCACTGCATTTAACACTCTGCCCCATTTTCATTATTTGAAATTCATAGTTCTACATTCAGGTCAGAAGTTTAAGGCAAAATGGGATAGGTTCAGTGAGAAAACAACATGGAAGATAAGTGAGCCACGATTATTGTCTCATTGAGCTCAGGCCCCCATGATATGGTCTGTGATTTATAGGGGGCTGTCATTCCTTTGAGATGCCTCTATTGAGTGTTTGATGAGGTATTAACAATCATTTATCACACAGAAAATTTCAAAAGAAAATGAGTTTAAACTCCTAGAGTAAAAATGGTCACAAAATTGTTGAACTTACTTCAAAATATGTACTTTATAAATATTATTATAAAGCATTCACAAGCATTTTCCTTGTTAATGAGAAGTTCCCTGTAGCATTCTCTTGCACTGAGGGAGCTTGCTAAATGTAGTGTCCCACTATAGCTTGGTTTCCTGAAAGCTGTTCTTGCTGTGGTCAATGAATGCAGCTGTTCATATCACTTAATATGTTAGTTTAAATCATTGGGTGAGTGGAACTGATTAGTTTTCCAGAAGCAATACATACAGGCAGCTAGGAGGAACTCAGAATTTACTAGCAAATATTTTGACAGAACTGTATTCTGGAATTAAGTGGTAAAAATCATATTCTGTACCAAATAACTGAGTGAATTTTTTTGCATTTCACTTTAGTTTTCTTTTTTGTTAGTGGAGGGGACACTTCTCGATAGTAAGAAGCTATTGAAATATGTTCTCAAGATAGGATTCTTTGGAAATATTTAAAACAATAGGGTCAAGAGATGACATGTGGTAGACTATGTGCTTTGCATACATGAAACCCTGGGTTCCTTTTGTAGCACCACTACAACAACAATAACACAAAACCCCTAAGTTTTCCTTCCAAAAATAAGCATAGAGTGTTAATATGACTTTCCTTTCATGAAATGTTTATAATTATGCACAAGATAGTATTTTAAAAAATACTTTATAAAACTTTATAAAGCTTCATGGTACCTACTCATCAGGAGTTTAAATTTTGTTTCATCCTATATACCACTTGGGAAGAGAAATTGTTGTGGAAACAACTTTCAAGCCAAAACATAGCATCTAGATGTAACTCTCTGTTATAAGGAAACACTCAAACAGAAATGTCTGTCTAATCTGTGTTTGAGACTCCCCAAGTGATGCTTTGTGGAACTCTTAGATCCTCCTCTTTCATGAGGTGCTATCCTAGACTTTGGAGTATAAGATTAATTTTGTCATGGAAAATAAATGTGGGTTTGTCAAATGCCCATTTATTCTTTAGAATATTTGTATTGCTGAGTTAGTAATTTTAATTTTATTGTATTAAACTTTGAATACTTAACAGGAAAAAAATCACAAAAATACAGCTTTGAGTTTTTAATATTTATTGTTTATAAAAAAGCATCAAAATTTTCAAGATAAACTGGTTTTTGGTGTTCAAAAGAGAACATCAGAAATAAATTCCTATGTGAACTACAATAAAAGTATCAATGGCACTCCATACACAAAAAGATACTTCAATGATCATATCTAAGGCAGTCTGCACACAAGACAACCCCACATTCCTTATACATGCATTGCTTTCCCTAATAGCACATATGTTTTGTTTTCTGGGGTTTTTTGTAGGACATGGTTGGTATCTTCATGGTCTTTCTGTTTTGTCAGAAAGTTCTTGATTATATTATACAATGTGTAGTTAACAGGAACATAAAGTATCAATAAATTATTAAATTCTTAATATGTATTGTGTATTTCCTTACAAATCCTAAAAGATAACATCAGAAATAAATTCCTATATGAACTACAATGAAAATACCAATAGAGCCTTACCATAAAAATAAGCTTTGCTGTAAATGGCATACCCAAGGCAATCTTCACACATGATAGCTGCTTGTTACTTGCACACATCTCAGTTATACTGACCCACATGTATCCTTAGCTTTCTTTTCTTATGTGGAAGTCTTGTCACCTCTCTTCTTCCTGTCTTGTCAGGAGCTTTCTACTATATTGTACAATATACATTTAGCAGAGAAATAAGATGTGAATAAAATATAATATCAACTATATAATGTGTACTTAGAATAGACATCAACATTTTCATATCAGCTGTGTATTTCTTTGCAAAATCAAAAAGATGACATCATAAATTGCTAGATGAACTATAATGAAAATACCAATGGAACACTACTACAAAATAAGCTTTGCTGCACCTGTCATACCCTAGGCAGTCTTCATATATGACAACTGCATATTCCATACACAAGAATTGATTACACTGATAGTACGTATGTTTTGATTTTTCTGTACTTTATTGTAAGGCTCAATTCACATTTTCATTTTCCTGTTGTGCTAGCACATTTTATAATGCTGTACTTGCCTATTCACCTGTCAGCTCACTAATGCACTCTGCAACTTTTTTCATAGTTCTTTGGGCAGAAACATTTTGTTTTACTCTGTAGTAAATGATCTTTATACTCTCCAGTCTCAATCTTCTAAGAAAATATATCCATGATATTTTGCACTTGTTATTTTCTATGTAAACTATCAAACTGTTCATGGCATGCATTTTAGGATGAAATAGAACACAAGTATTGGTCAGGGCTTTTTGTTTCAAGTGACATCATGTTGCTTCATAACTCATCAAAAACATCTACACTGCCTCTGGTTTTGTTGTTGAAAGTTTCAATCTCAGGCTTCTGTTTTGTCAATGTTTCACTATCAATATTTCCATCATGGTAAAATCTTGACATCAGCATAACCATTTTGTTTTCTTGCCCTATATGAGGTCAATGTGTTATCTTTCTGAAATCCAAAGTTTGCAACGTACAATTTTCTGTTTTGAAATTGCAGCATTTCCTATGGAATTTCTGCTTTGTTCCTGTACAGTTCTTGTGCTGGTCAACTTAAGCTCTGTTACTAAGTATGACAGCAATTGGAAAACAGTAAGCCAATTGCCTAATGCTACATCCTGATTAGTTTGAATGATGGGAGCAACAAATCTATTCACAATATCATTTGGTTTATTACTATAAAAATAAAGACTTGGTGATTGGGATGTAGAATAAATATCTAAATTGAAAGCATAATAAGTCTTCATCTATAGGAGCATAAATTTTATGCTATCTTTGACCTATTATTTTTCCATATGCCTTTTATATTCCTACAATTATCATGAGAAATCTGTGGTAAGTATAGAAGATCTATAAATGCTTTCAGTTCAGCTACTGTGTTACAATAAATACATTTTAAATATGGCTATTGGTGCATACAAAACATTTTACTTGCACTTCAGCATCTGTGTATTTCACAACAAATTGTAGTATTTCATCTGTGAAAATTTCCAACAGTGAATCATAGTGCTAGAATTCTGTCCAATGCATTTCATCCTGGCCATGACCCTCACTATATTTTTGGATCTGGTTCCAACTTTGGTTCATTCATTTGGTTGTATGGCCATTTTGCAGTATTTTGGCTAGTCAAATATGTGCCTACATTACTATTCTCTTTGTCATCTGAATCAAGGAGGTCTGCTATTCCTGTGACTGTATTAGTCAATTCTTGCTCCAATTCACTGTCACAGAAACTTTGGCTCACATGTCCAGCATCAAAGTCAGCATCATTATCATCATCACCACCCACAGTACTCTATTGTTATGAAAGTGTATATTTTACTAAAATGGATTGTTTTCATCATCCGTGCAGGAATAATCTGATGAGTTACTTTTGACCTCCTCAAAAAGTTGCACATTTGGTTTTTCATGTATCATACTGAATTGGGCTACTTCTACTAGAAAAATCAAAAGAAAACATTTTTTTAACAAATCCTTGAAATGCTGTTGGTCTGTTGAACTCCGTGATGCTCAGGTAAACTTACATAAAACCAGGTATACGGAGCATAAAAGTGGATCCAAATCCTATTTTGCCACTTTTGCGTGTGTGCACCCTTGCTTTTTGTCATACCAAGTGGATAAACATAAATTTCATCATGTATTCCTCAGGGCAATGTAGTGAGATATACAGCCCACTATAGTAGTAATGCTAATGTATAAATTTTCAGGGACAGGTCTGCTGAGCCGAGCTTTTTCCCTGTGGATTTAAGGAGACAAGACCTGCTTGTCTCCTCTCTACTTACTCTAAGCACAGGGAAGCAAGATGGAGAGCCCTCTAACCCCTCAATGGTATAATCTTATTTCCAGTTCTTGAGGGACCATTTTGTTGCTTCCTCAAAGGATATAGTAATAAACTAAAAGTCCTACATGAGAAGTGGGTCTCAATCTTGTAGAATGTAGAACCAACTGGACTGCAATGTGAGCTCTGGCAAAACTTTTCCAAGAGACATCTGAGTCTTGGCTCTGACTACTGTTAATAGTGCTCATGATGGTTCATAATTTGTCTAAAACTACACTAAGTTTGAGCCCTTTCAAGTTGTTGTTATAAGGAAGGCCATTTCTAGCTTCTGATGTATTAGACCCAGAAAATATTAGAATTTTACAATATCTCATTGATTCACACCAATTACAACAGGTTATCCAATGCATAGGAGCAGTCCTGCCAGTGTCCATTTGGGAGACCAAGTGCTTGTTAAAACTGGGGAGAGGGGCTACCCACAGACCAATTAAATCTAAAATGGAAAGGATTCTTCCAGGGACCCTTGCCATAGCCAATGTAGTAAAAATGATAGAGATAAATAATTGGATTCATCTTTCTAGAATAAAGACAGTTCGTACCTGAACTATCTGTAGAACAGGATCACTCAAAGGGGAAAGCTATTCCTGTGAGCCTCTGAAAGACTTGAAATTTCTTTTCAAAAAGCAAGACTCCAATACTGAGACAGAAAACATGGAATAGTGAAGTTTCTTTTTCTTGTCAGACAGGCAGCACAATCATCACTAATTCTTTTTTCATTATTTTGACAGGTTTATCTTTGTTCATCCCAGCCCGTGAGGCAAAGCAACCCAAGGTAGTTGGAGAGAACAACATCATTCCTGGTAAGTCATTTCTGCAGCCCCTTTCAGGTTGAAGAAGCCGTAGGAGACAGAGACCACCACTCCCTCACCATCCCATAAAGAATTATGGGAATTTGTGTCTCTCAGGGGAAATGAGATAGGGGATTAGAGCATGGAAATCTGGTTGGTAAAGTAGTTATAACCAGTTAATTACAAGATCCCAGAACACATTTACAGAACATTCTCAAAGGCCTTCATGTGGACAGCTTGTGAAAACTCGAGCATATTTTCAGTAGCATGACCTAGACCTGGCACCAGCCTAAGCCAGGGGACTCCAACAGCACCTCTCAGGACACTTATACGTTCCTTTCAGGAACATATAAGTTCTCAGGGTTTCCTTGAGATTCAGACAGTACAAAAGGGCACTACCATCAAAGAGAGCTTGCTATTCTGGCTTTCTCACAGTATTCCACCCTTTATCCTCTGGGTGTGCCTTTATCTTGCCCTTTCTGTTTTACTCAGCCCAAACTCACTCCACAGAGCCAGTGTCTCTCTCACTCTTCACTGTTACTTTTACAAATAAACTTTGCCACTGCCTTGTGCTTTATTCCATTTTTTGTTTAAGATAAAATATCCTGGAATCCAGCTTGAGATGTGAGGTGAACAACCCAAGACTCCCAGTAACATTTGATTGGTAAGCCACATTGATTCCACCTCCTAGTCTCCTCAGGTGTGCTCCATTTGGTGCCTCTCAACCAGGATATGCAACCCTTTGTCATTTCTGTGCCTGGTAGCCACTTCCTTCATGAAGTTTATAAGTGGTGTGACAAGACAAGGTAGGAGGCATGAGTTGGAGGCAGAGTTGTACCCCACTCACTACCTATAATTGGTACTTCCAACAAGTCTTCTGCCTTTGTTTCTGTCTCTACTGTGCACTCTTGCGTATCCCCAACCCTGTTCCCTTACTGCTGGAAAGGCTGCACAAGATTCAAGTGTGGTATAGTGAAAAAAGTGAAGTTTGGGAAAGAGCTTTCCAGAGAATGGTACACTAGGGTGGAGTTTTGAAGGGTGACTAAGAGTTTCTTAAGATTAGATGGAAAGGAGAGAAATAAATATTCCAAATAAAAATTTTTTTTTGTTCTTTGCTATATCCTCTGGATCCTTGGACTTTCTCTAGTATAGGGTAGACATTTAAAAAAATTTGTCATATGCAAGAAAGAAAGAATGCATGTGAGTGGGAAGTGCTGGCGTATGGAACCTTGGAGGAGGAAGTACTAGGTCTGGAAATTGGAGGATCAAGAGGTAGGTAGGGGCATATCTCCAGGAATAATGGCATCATATATAGAATCTATTTACTCATTCAGCATCCATTAAGTATAATGTCAGGCCTTTGTTGCTGCTCATGGTCAAGTAACTACAAACTTGTGCAGGGAGACCAGCCTGGTGATGAGGGGGGGTCTCACACGTGGAGGCCCTAAGACTAAAGAGGCTGCCAAGGGGACTGGAGGATGGTTTATCAAGCTGTATTATGAATTTAGGACTTTACCCCAGAGTCCTGAGACTTCCTCGAGGGTTTGCCAGTGAGAGGCAGTGGTGTGGCGACTTGCTCAGATTGTGATTTGAAAAACCTTTCCCACTACAAGGGCAGGGAGTAACTATAGGAGGCAGGAAAATTAGAGGAAGCTGCAGCAGGCTCTAGGGGTTTAGTGAGATGGGTGACATGGCTCCTGGTAGTGGTGGCAGGAGTGAGGGAAAGGTGATAGTGTGGGAGGGATTTAGAGAGTCCAGCCTGCAGGACAGTGTGGGGGAGTCAGAGGGACCATCTTAGGAAGTGTCAAGGAAGGGCCCTTGATGCAAATGCCCTGGCTGTCACACTTTGACCAACTACTGCCTTAGGCTGGCTTCCCCAGTGCAACATGCTGAGGTGAGGGGAAGAGCACAGGAACTAGAGACTGCCTGTTACTAGTAAGTGACCACTGCCAGCCAGATATAGTGGTGTGTGCTTGTAATCCTAGCACATGGGAGGCTGAGACAAGAGGATCATCATGAGTTGAAGGACAACCTTGGGCCACATAGCTCAGCCTGAACTATATAGCAAGACCCTGTCTCAAAAAAATAAACCAAAACAAAAAAGTGACTGTTGCCAAAGGGTCTGTACCTCCAGTGACTCAACTAGCTAGGCCTTGGGGGTTGCCTCTGTCCTTACGCCAGTACCTGGCTCAGTATAGAGTTTCCATAGCAGTGTATTGGGCTCCAGTGTGAGTATTCTGAGCTACCATTCTCAGGACCTGTACCTTAACCTCCTTAGTAAATATTTCCTACTCTAACTCTCCCTGTTCTTTATAATTCATTCTTCAGTTTGGGGGAACATGAGCTCAGTGTATCACACATCTAGTATGTTGGAAGTTATAAATATAAAATATTTTCCATATATTTTATTTGCCTTAAATCATCCCTATATCAATAAGATTTTTCTTACTTTTAGAAACATAATTGTCCTAGAGAGAGTCATTCCTTCAGTGATTATGAGAAAGCCCTGCTAAGTACAGCAGACCTATAAAAGCTGTCAGTTCAGCTCATGAGGTATAGAATAAATACATTTTTGAGTAAGGCTATTGGTGCATACAGAACATTTTGCTTGTATTTTAGCACTTATGTATTTTGCAGTGTCTCGTTATAATTTGTCTGTTTCAAATAATTTCTAGCATTGAGCAGAAGTGCCAGCATTCCATCTAATAAGTTTCACTCCTACCAGGATCTTCACTATATTTTTGTACCTAGTTCTGATGTTAAGCCATTCCATTTGGTTGCATGACCATTTTGTGTTTATTTATTTATTTATTTATTTTTATTTAAGGAGAAAAGAAAAAAAACAGTGAAAGGGTACAAGTTATACAGATTTACAGAAGAAAAAAATGAACAGTAGGAAATCACTAGTTAATGGATTACATATTGCCATCTTAGAAATAATTGTTCAAGTCACAAAATTAAAGCTTGTAGAGTGGACATTCCAACAGTGGTACTGCAAACAGTTCTGTTCAATGATCCAATAAAACTCTGTGATATCATTTTCTATCTTATACACTTAAATATACATGCAGTTATATAGTTTAGAGCACTTTCTTTTCCTCTCTTTTGTACAATGACTATTACACATTTTGGGTTTCATTGCTCCCACGGTTCTTATTGCTTTTTTGGAAGAGAGTAAAACCAAATGAGACATAACAGAACAGAATCGGTCAAGTCAAAAGGGTGGACATAATAGATAATATAAAAACATAATACAAGGTGATCAACAATGGTTACCATAATGCCTCCTGCTATCTCTAATAGAATTGCCTATATCATTAGTTATAATACAATTGAACAAAACAGTAAAGAACAAAACCGACAAAACCAAAACATTGGAGACATTGTAGGTCTTTAAAAGTAGATAAAAGTCAACGAGAATGGGCGTTATAATGAATCTCATTATCTTCTCAGCTGATGCCTAAACTTTCGAACCTGATACTATCCAGCAAAACAGAATAGGGGAACATCAGTCAAAAACAAGATGGTGAGAGTAATACAGGGCTTCAAATCGAGATAATAGAAAGTCAAAGTGGGTTACTATATTATATCCTGCTATTTTTTTCCCTTTAATTAAACGGATAAAAATAAAAAAGTAAATAATGGAGTGGAGATTGAGAAAAAAGAGGGCATAACAGTGAAACAGCGCAGATCAAAACATAACCATTTAAGCAGAATAGTGTTTCACCACTAGATATTTCCGATCCAAAAATAGTTACCATATTGACTCTTTCCTTGAAGTCCTTGAGTACAACTTCGTATACTGTAGCATTAAGTATATCAAAACAATGTAAAACCATTTAAGAGAATGACAGCATTACAGAGTATTTAGAATCAACTAACAGAAAATGAACAATGGTTTCTGTATAATCTCCTTGGCATGACAATTTTGTAGCATTTCAACTAGTGATACATGTATTCATATTTCTGTTTTCTTCGTCCTCTAAATCAAGGAGATCTGCATTCTGTGTGTCTGTGTCAGTCACTTCTTGCTGCATTTCACTGTCATGAAACTTTGGCTAACGGGACCAGTGTCAAAGTCACTTTCATCCATTCATGAGTGGTGTGATGATTCACTTTTGACCTTCAAAAACTGCAGATCTGGTTTTTATGTGCCATCTTACTGAAATGGGATAGTTCTACCCAAAAAATTAAAAGGAAATGTTTTTAAAAACAAATCCTAGAGCGAGTGGGGCCTAGGCAAGGAATCCTGCCCCAGGAACTCCCCCTCCCCAGTCTAGGGGAACTGTCTTTGTCCCCTAGGGACCAGCGCATGGTTTCCTGCCAGGCCCAGCCAGTCAGGCCTAGGCACAGAATCCTGTCCCAGTCTCAGGGAACACTCTTCCTTGCCTCAGGGGCCAGGCCGCGCTTCCCTGTGGGCCCAGCCAGTCGGGCCTAGACACAGTCTGGGGGAACTCTCTCCCTCACTTGGAACAACTCTTGAAGCTTGAAAATATAGTAAATGACAAAATGAAAAACCAAAATGCAACATCAAACACCCAGCCCATCCCAAAAAAGCCTAGGAACCACAATCATAGAACAAAACACATTCCACATACCTGAAATACCTGAAATAATAGTAACTGAAATAAAGAAGCAACTCTGGGAAACCTTAAAGGAATTCAAACTAGAAATAATCTCTCAGGTAAAAGAAGAAATGATAAAAGAAATGAAGGAGATGCTGAACATATCTAAAGAAGACACAGTTAAAAAATTGGAGGACCTAAACAAAAAGATAGAATCCCTGGATGAACAATGTAAGAAACAAACAGAATACATAGGCAGATGCAAAGAGATATACAGGAAATCAAAAACTCCATTGAAAGTTGTAAAAACTGCCTCAATGAATGTGAAGATAGAATCTCAGACCTCGAAGACAAGATTGCAACTAGCAAACAGGAAAGGAAAGATCTTTTAAAAATAACAAGAAATCAGGAAATAACAATTCAACACCTGCATGACGATGCAAAGCA